CTAAATTCAGCAGCAGCTCCTAGGCAAGCTGAGAGGTACATCAAAGGCAAACATTGCTGCAGCACCAGTTTCCCACCCATTTCATCCACTGCATACTTACATACCACTGCTGGTGAGGAAGTCCTGAGCAGGTAGGACTCCCTACCTCTCTAAACTCCTGAAGTGAGGAAATCACCTGCCAGGCAGAGTGAAGTTTTGCCTTGGTACTTAAAACGCAGACGCAGACCCAAGTATGCCTTGAGAGGAGGCTCTGCAAAATCCCAGATGCATGAACATGTTGGTTTTCCTGGGAAAACAATGGGAGAGCAGGAATTGAGGAATTGCAGCAGATCCCATTCAGATGCCAGCGCATCATGGCACCTGGATCCAGCACCACGCTCTTACACGAATCCTGCTATTACCCAGAACTCAAAACTGGTGAAAACAAAATGAACTTGCTACTTTCTTTTTTATAAGTCAAAGGAATTAAATGTCCATACCATCAAGTAGCTGATGTAGCAGAATGTTTAAGTTATATATGACCACTTCTGCAGGAAAACAGACAGAGAAGGACAAACTATTCTAGGGTTCTTGTTACCAAGATTTCTTCCTATGTAAAAGATTTCATATTTTAATTAATGGTAATAAGTACAACTAAAAGTGTGGTTATTTTTGCCTTACGGTAGCTGCAGCTTTAATTTGCATGATACAGTTTTGATGATGTTTTTACAGTTTTTTTGTTATTGTGATACTTGTTTCATTAGACACTACCTCATACGCACTGTCAAGTTCAGTAAAATGCTCTCCCTTACATTTCGGGTGTCTGAGAGAAAGCGCCTGGTGAGTTAGAACAGTTGGGCTCATACCTCATATTTAAGCACTTCGGATACCTCATCTCCACTGCATTTCACTGTATGTCTAATTTTTCCTATTTAGTAGTAACTGTTCTAACCAAAATTATTTCATAACCATTACACACAGCTATAATAGCAAATAAGTGAGAAATGAATCTAGTAAAAAATATTTTAAATGGATTTTCTCTTCTTTTTGATACTTTATTCTAGAAGCAGGAGGTTGGACTCCGTGATTTCTAGAGGTCCCTTCTTACACCTGCAATTCTGTGATTCTAAAAAGTGATATAAGGTGACTGAATGGTTATCGTACCCAGATGTCCAGGAGCTTCCTTATAATATTTGTTTCAAATTAAGGGTGGAATCCAACTGGTTCTGAAGTAGAACAAAAATCATTGTGAGCAACAAGTGCATGTTTACATTGTGCATTTAATAATACAATAAAATTACAAAGTGCATTTAATAATATTCGAGTTTTTATTCAAGTTCTACCTTTTGCAGTAAGCCAATTATGGGAATAATTTCATTTAATTTAAATAACAGATAAATGAGGAATGAATTTCTTGTCTTCTAGTCTGTAAGGAAATGTTTGATAATCTAGCCTACAGCAGAATGAAGATGCCTGACTTCTGGCACGGTTATAACCTACATCCTTCTCCTCCCCTGCCATGAGCTTCTTCATACTCTTGTAACTCCTTCTCAGAAATGGTCTGGTTCCCCTTCATTGCCATTTGGTCCACCCCCGTAACAGGCTCAAATCCCATCCTGTCCTAACTATCTCCTCTGGGTTGCTGGCCAGGCAAGGGATGACACAGTGTAGATGGTCCAGAGCTATCAGTGCGCTGACTAATGACTAAGCACATGCTGACTGGCTAATTAAAGGCTGCCAAAAAGGATGGGTAATGGTTGGGCTCTGCTTGCCTTCTCCTCAGGGAGGGCATTAGTAATCTTCTTTTCCTCTACACAGTCACTGTTTTTCCATGAAACTCACAGTAACACAGCGTCTTCAAAACCTCTGTCTCAGCCATTTTTGGGTTTGGATATTTTTTTCTATTTTCTTTAGGTTTTCCAACCAGTATGAAAACTACTGGGGCAAAGCAGAAAGCCAAAAGGCAGCTGACAGTTAGACAAATGTGTGACTTTTCTCCTTTGAAAGAGACACATGTTGCTTGATTTTGGGGGCCTGAGTCATGGTCTTTGAATAGCCAGGGTTGGGAATACTGTTCACTATTGGCAGGCACAGCGGGTAGAATGACACAAATCCCAAAGATAATATTAAAACGCCATAAAGTTCAGTAAGATGTGCATTTCATTTTTAACTCTTTGGTTTTGCTGATGGTAACGTGCTGCTTATTTTTAAATCATTTTTGTAAAATAATTTTTTTGGGAAACACTTCTATCTGGTTACTTTCCTTTCACTTATTATTTACTTTTGTCACCTGCATCTGTAGTCAGCATTATCCTTCAATGCCACAATGAAAGTCATAAAGAAAAACCATTTCTGTATGGCACTGTTAAAGACACTGAGTGCTTCAGTACCTCCTAATCAAATGCTATGCCTTAAGCTCTCTCCAAATTCTTGCAGTCTCATAGAAAAGAAACAGCAACAAGAAAAGATGAAGACAAAGTTATTCTACTAACAACCTACAGGTATTCAGAGAATGTGCATCACCATGGTGGCTGAGAGAAAGCTCTGCCCTTGCTCAAAGCTCGCTGGCATTTTCAGGCATGACAAATAAAGGATTTACATCCTGCAGTCATGAACAAATGCATTATTGACGGAAAAAGAGTGGCTTTTTTTTTCCTTCCACAATTGTTACACAACACTGACAGAAAATCATGCATTAGTTCACAACAAGCCACAGTCAGTGGAAGACCTTGAAGGAGGAGGAGGCCAGGTCTCGCACCAGGCAAGCAGCTGCACAGCACAAAGAAGAGCCATGCTGGTAGAGGCGTTTCTCACCGGCCACTTCTCTCGTCCCTTCTCAAACATGATGAGTGGCTCCCAGCCAGTCTGCCAGAGCATTTAATGATTCTGATTTTAACGACTGCGTCAGTGTTCCTACCTGTTTATTGATGGATCATCATTCCCTTTGGAACTGAATCTACTGTGAAACTTGGCACTATTATTAAGGTTTCCACTTGGGGGTAGATTCCCTTTTATACTCAGCTTTTTAGTCATTCTGATTGATATAAAATAGCTTTATTATGATATGCATCGTTATAATACATTAAAAAGAACACTACGACCCAAAACAAATAAAGACCCAACCAAAACCTTATAAATAGTCTGGAACTGGGTTAGAGATTTTCGAGATTCTTTATGTGAATCACCCTATCCACCATTCATAAAGATGTTTTTCCAGCACCTGTAGTGTACTGGCCTCTTAAAAGTGCAAGAATACTAAGAGTCTGTTTAAAACAGTATGCTGTGAACGTGGCATTGCAAACTCAGATCTCTCCTAACTTGTAGTTCCAGTGAACCACGAGCCCCTTTATGTTTCCATACACTGAGAGCACTGACAGGAGCATCTTGCATCAAAATAAATGCTCAGGATATAAGCTGTCAAAATGCTTGCTCTACACATGGATCTGGCTGAAATGAGAACATTAAAGTTAGACCCTAAAGCTGCAACCTGGAACATGTGAGCACAACACATTTATTGCTTGCATCAACTTTACACCATGGAAAGACAATCAATTTAAATTGAATACTCAAGATTTATGAGCTGAATATTAGGCTCAGTTCTGTGCCATGCAGTGAATTTCTGTGCCCTGGAAAGGTAATGCAAAATAACACAAATGACTAGGCAGAAAAAGAGCTCTTGGATTGTTCTATCAAGTAGCATTCTCCCTTTACGAACGTACGCAAACAAATGCCCATATTTGCCACGCTTTCAGGTGTACTCATTATGGAAAAGAAACAAATAAAAGTGAAAAACTGACAGCACGGTCCCAATTTAGATAGGCAAACTGTGACATTTTGCATGAAATTCTGGGATTTGTGTTTGCTCTAACATATAGACCCCCAATTCCTCAAATGAAAATGAATTATTGGTTTTTTTTTTTTGCTAGCAGCATGTCTAGTCTCATCTACATTAATGTAAGATTTTACAAGCCATGACCTGTAATTATACAATGCTGTCTAGGTATGTCTTATGCAGTAAGCATATTAAAATCATAATTATAAAAATATAACTGGGATATAGAAAACTTACATGCTTGAATAGAAAGCCAAACACACTATCACTTCAGTTGGCATAACACAGAGGGACCCTGAACTGAAGTAAAATAGGATATGAAAAACGAAGATATACTGACAGAAGAAATTTAAACAGTTTATGTCATTTACAAATTTCAGTAACAATGGAAAAAGCAAGCTGGACTATTTCTGTGTAATATTAGAGTTGAGTAGCTCATGATATTCCTTAAAAATACCTTTGTTACTGAAGGTCTCTCAGTATCTAACTTGCTGCCCAGGATTTTGCTGACAAGGCAAACTTTCTTTACTTACTAAGTGTCTACACACTTCAGTTATTAATTTTGATACTAAAGGGTCAAATAGTTAGCCCTTACTTTTACTCATACGTGTACAAAATCTTTATTCCTGCTTATCTAGTACCTATCAGAAACACCTATTACAGTTGACTGAAATTTGAACTGCTTAATACATTTAAACTGTTGCACAGCGCAGCTTCCTAACATTTGCAGTGTATGCTTACGTATTTTTTCCCTTTTTTTTTTTAAAAAAAAAAAAGAAATCCCTCAGAATTTTACTTTAGATAGCACGAACTTTCAGTCAAAATAGTGACAGAATCCTAAAGCAACTCTAAAGAAAGCTCTGCCTCAATTCATAGTGCAGCTATGTGTTCAGTGTATATTTAAGAATGATAGTGCTGTCTTCCAGCACTGCTGCCCATAGTACTTGGAAACATATCCTTTCAGTATGTGAAGACGTATCCTCTATGAAGCCACCAGATAAATCAGTTCACCCTTGGCTGTAACTAAATGCTGTCTAGTGACTTGTGATCAACAGGGCTTTAACCTCTGACAGCTAGATTCATTGTTGGGACAACAACCAATCGTCGGTTTTGACGACATGAGCCTAATCAAAGTTGGAGTATAAAAGCCCCCTTGGCATATATAAGGCACACCAGTGTGGCAAGCTGTCTCTCAGACTGCATTTGCTTTCACGGATCTGTTCAGAACTGAAAGAAAAAGGGAAAGAGGGACAGGGGAAAAAAAAAAAAAAAAAAAGGAAAAAAGCTGCAGTGACTGTAAGATCATGCAAAAGCTAGCAGTCTATGTTTATATTTACCTGTTCATGCAGATTTCAGTTGATCCGGTGGCTCTTGATGGCAGTAGTCAGCCCACAGAGAACGCTGAAAAAGACGGACTGTGCAATGCTTGTACGTGGAGACAGAATACTAAATCCTCCAGAATAGAAGCCATAAAAATTCAAATCCTCAGCAAACTGCGCCTGGAACAAGCACCTAACATTAGCAGGGATGTTATTAAACAACTTATACCCAAAGCTCCTCCACTGCAGGAACTGATTGATCAGTATGACGTCCAGAGAGACGACAGTAGCGATGGCTCTTTGGAAGACGATGACTATCATGCCACAACCGAAACGATTATCACAATGCCTACGGAGTGTAAGTAATAACCCTGCTGCTTTCGTCTCGCTCCGCTCCTCCGAGAGTTGTCTCCGTGCTGTAGAGCCACACAACTCCTTCTCAGGCTCTCCCAACAGGCTGCTGGCTGGAGTCTGCCGGAGGGAGGGAGGAGAGTGTATTTCTAAAGAATTTGAGTCAGGTTCAAATGACCGTGTTGCGAGCCTTTGTTTTACTGTTCATTTTTTCGGCTCCTTGTAATGTGTGCCCTGTAGCACACTTAGGATTTGCCTAAGTGTGTTTAGAAAGCAAAAGGACATCTGCAGTTGGCTCTGTTACGTGCAGCATTCAGGAAGTTCCCTATTGCAGATAGAAAGTGCAAGTGCAGCTAATAAGATAACTGTATTTTCTGCATGACATTCCACCTGCTACTGTGTTTAAAAGCCATAGAAGTGAGTAGAAATACAGCTTAGAGTAGGAGACCTACCTAACTACAGCATGTTATAGCAAGTGTAAGCATAGAGTTAAATTCTTGCTTCTTTGCTGATCCCACAGGCTAGCACCACCCACCTCCGAGTTAAAACTGTATATTTAAAGCAAATCTATGTGTAACAGATTTAAATGTTAAAATGTCCACGTTATAGTTATCAGCTCCAGTAGTGGTGCCAAGGAAGAATGAAGGCATTTACTGAATGAGCAGATTCTAAGTTATCTTCTGAGTGCTAAACATCTGCTACGGCTCCTATCAAGTATCTTTTGCACAGCTAATACTATAGTATCTTATGTTCTTCATCAGCTGAAGTATTTGGCTATGGCAGCTGTTTTTTAAAATAACACTTAAGAATATGATGTCAAAAAGGAAAAAAGATGTCAGGACATATAAGGCAGGTTAGCAGTTACAGATATCATTACCATACGTATACTAGAATAATATCAGCTCCTGTAGCCAGCTAAAATGGACAAAAGATCAACTATGTCTGAAACCTTTTTTAACTCTGATAAGATGCATACCTAACAGCAATACATTATTGCAGCCTTATCGCAAACTGTCAGCAGTTTTATTCTAGCCTATTATGTACAAAATTTCAAAACTATTTTAATTAAACCTCTATATAGTCACAATGACTGGGGAAAAGTCATTATGCTTTATTGCTCTATTTTCTTCTTTTTATAAAAAGCATTTGAACTACAATACATACGCTAAAGAGGCAGTTATCTTAAGTGATCTGATTTATGAGTGTCAAAGATCTGTATCATTTAAGATCTGTTTTATCCTGGCATGGAGATACTCTATCATGACTAGGTAGGACAGCTGCATTATAGGCTACAGGAATGAAGCACTGCACATGACTTTCCTTTAATAACGTTGAAATGAAAACAAATATTCAGATTAGCACTTTTAATTTTCTTTCCACTCAGAAAAGAAAATGAAGTGTTAAGGGTAGTTTGCACACAGTCGCCCCTCTTTGCACAGTACACAGCACCCTAAGGTTATTTAGTAATCTAAAACTTCCCACAGGTGACAGAAACATTGAGTCAGCTCATGCTAAGCTGCTGCTGCTTTATGAAAGTCCTCAGATGAGCAGCAGAAGTGGGCTTGCAGTAGTCACCATGAAGTTGCATTGGCTGTGCCCTGTCCTCTGACAAATTTAGTCTGGGAAAGAGACTTTTCTGCAGCTGCATGGGTCAGCCCACAGTGCTGGTGTGATGGTCAGATCGTTGAGGACCACAGGAGTCCCTTAGCTTTTCTTCTCTTGCCTACCATTCCTGAATTTCTGCCTGTGCACATCGCTCAACTCTGCATACCTACGAAGTGCAATGGATCAGCTACAGTTACTTAGAAAACTGTTAGCCAAACCTTCTTCTAGCCTGCTTACAAAACAACCATCAATTCCTTGTCACATTATGTTACTTATAGGTGACAGTATAATGATTATATTTGCTGTAGGATGTAAAGTGCAGAAATTGAATGATATTGCATCCACTTTGTTACCAGTACTGTTTATATAATATTGTAAGACATCCTACATGATCTGGAAAAAAATTGGGTTGATATATGCATATTTCTTTTTGTTCCCTGTTCAGTAATTTGTTCTTTCCATTCATTTATAGCTGATTTTCTTGTACAAATGGAGGGAAAACCAAAATGTTGCTTCTTTAAGTTTAGCTCTAAAATACAATATAACAAAGTAGTAAAGGCACAATTATGGATATACTTGAGGCAAGTCCAAAAACCTACAACGGTGTTTGTGCAGATCCTGAGACTCATTAAACCCATGAAAGACGGTACAAGATATACTGGAATTCGATCTTTGAAACTTGACATGAACCCAGGCACTGGTATCTGGCAGAGCATTGATGTGAAGACAGTGCTGCAAAATTGGCTCAAACAGCCTGAATCCAATTTAGGCATCGAAATAAAAGCTTTTGATGAGAATGGACGAGATCTTGCTGTAACATTCCCGGGACCAGGTGAAGATGGACTGGTAAGTTTACTAAAAAAGCCTCATTTATGTATCTTGGTGCTGGTTTTTTTTTTTTATCATTGGAAAGTGATTTGTTGTCTTTTAAGGATAAAAATGGAAATACTGCTTAAGGAATGGATGATAAAGGTTCTATATACCCAATTCTTTCACTCTTTGCTCTCAATACCAAAATCACTTGGACATTCCTGTGCCTCCATTTTCCTGTTTGAAAAATTAAGATGAATTGAAATACCTCAGGGTCATGTTGTAAGGCACTGATTGGAAAATGTTTTGGCACTTACAAATGGATGGTACTATCAAAGTTACATTATTTCCAAACTTGAGAGCAAATACTGCATATTGTGAAGACTTTTTGCATAAAAGAAGCTAAAAGCAATTCAACTCTTTCTGTGATAAGAAATCTGCTGTAGATGGTGTTGAAAAGATTTTTCGCTCAACACATAAGAGAATTTCTCCCTATTCTGTATGCATGTGTTTTCCATTAATGACAATGAAAATTATCTATGTTTACAAACCCTGAGTTGTGCATCTTTTAGTGACAGAATGAATAATTCCTCCTACTAGGAATGTTTGAGTACATAAATTCTGCTCTATGCAATAAATGCATCATAATGATGAGCAAGCATAAAATAACTTGTGGTTTTTTTTCTGCAAGGTGAACATAATAAATCTAAAGCATACCAGTTTAACTACAGCATTTTCCTTGTTGCTTCCCCAAATTGCTAATCTTTTACAACCACAGCTGAACTTGCTGAAACAATCAAGAAATTTCTGCTTTTGAATAAAGTACTAGGAGCATAATTTTGTTTTTACTGCTACACAATAGATCATTCTGTTTATGTAGCTATGAGATGTTTAACTTCATAGCAGTGTAATGCAGTGAAAAGAATCAAGGGGAAAAGCACATCTTAATTGTAGATCCATCACAGATCTGAGTCTTCCGTAGTTGGAAGAGACCACTGAGATATCAATAATGGCCATGCCACCTCCACCCATTCAAGTATCCAACAAGGTGTTTTCACATATGTGGATAAGCCAAGGCTTTTCCAGAGCTATCATCATCTGTAAAAACAAACTGAATCAAGAGCAATACAAGAATAGATGCTCTGCAGTCCACAGCAGAGGAAATGTATTTCCTCATTCCTCCATCTCCTCTCCAGCCGCTCTCTGTAGCGGGACGCCCCTCTCCATCACGCCTCTCTCCAAATTGGTTACTTTTGGAAAACGCTTTTCCAGCAGCTGAACAATATACTGACCTAAAGGTGTGTGTCTTGAAAGGAACCAACTTGAGCAGCAGTTAGCTGGGCAGTTATTTACTCCTGAGGCAACTGCCTGGTCAGTGGCAAACAGGCATACTGCTGAAATTGACATAGGGCAGAAGAAACTTTGGGAATTTTTTCAAACTTGTTATTACAAAGGTTAACATTTATTTCTATTCTCAGTTAAGGACTGCGCAAAGACACCTTCCGTAGGAAGCACGTGGCTCAGAGATCTGCCCAAAGTGCTCTCCTGGCCACAAGGCTCTCTCAGCAGTCAAAATATCACTTGTCCCTCCAAAGTCATTGCAGCATATCCAGCCGTCTGAGTAAAAGCTGTGAAGTGGAAATAACCTGCCTAGCAGGTTATTAATATTTTTCTACTACCAATCCAATCACTCCACCCAACCGTAATTAGAGAGATTTCCTGTCCTCCTGGGTCTGGAGGAGAGGCCTTCCCTGATATCCAGAAAAATCACATACAGTAATGTTTGAATGGAGGAAATTTCAGATGGACTCACAAAAGGAATCCAGCACAGGTTGGATCCTGCCCTTTAAATGTGTGGGGGTTTTTTTGTGTTTGTTTGGAGTTGTCTCCTTTTTGGAGTTCTTCTATAGAGAAGAAAGAAAGAAAGAAAAGCTATTATTGTAGCAGCAAGGAAAATAACAGCTAAAGTAGGAGCCCAAGATCCTCATAATCTCTGAAGCTTTCTCTTAGCAGTTAATAAGAAGCAACAATAACGGTGATTTCAGGAAGAGATAGACAGAAATTAACACTCTTTGTGGAGAAGCAGCAGGGAAATGCTGGTCTTCAGAGTGAAGAAGAGAAACAATCCCTGAGCAGGGAACAAATGTATCAGCCTTGGGTGAGGAAAAAGTTCTCAGAAGGGTAGAAGTTCAAAAACATTTGCAGATGTTATTTGAGAATATAAATTTGATACGTTTGTGTCAGAAATATCTATCTGCATGTTCTTACTCAAATTACATACGCCTACCTTGTTAATACTTCCGATTCCTTTTCCTCTTCTCTCAGAACCCATTTTTAGAGGTCAGAGTTACAGACACACCAAAACGGTCCCGCAGGGATTTCGGCCTTGACTGTGACGAGCACTCAACGGAATCTCGATGTTGCCGCTACCCACTGACAGTGGATTTTGAAGCTTTTGGATGGGACTGGATTATAGCACCTAAAAGATACAAAGCCAATTACTGCTCTGGAGAATGCGAATTTGTATTCCTACAGAAATACCCACACACCCACCTGGTACACCAAGCAAATCCAAGAGGCTCAGCAGGCCCTTGCTGCACACCCACCAAGATGTCCCCTATAAACATGCTGTACTTCAATGGAAAAGAACAAATAATATATGGAAAGATACCAGCCATGGTTGTAGATCGTTGCGGGTGCTCATGAGACCATCGTGAGATCCACCACTTCATAAATTGTGGAAGCCACCAAAAAAGCTATATCCCCTCATCCATCTTTTAAACTGTGAAATTACGTACGCTAGGCGTTGCCAACATCCTTATACTGTACAATCATACAGACCACATATAGCACAACACGAGCTGCAGAATGTGAACTAAAAGACGATAGAATTACCTAAGGGCTGGCTCTGAAACCACGGACAAAGAAGCTACAATCAAAATCATCGGATTTAACAAATGAGTTTCTTACACTGTGAGGGAATCAATATTCAGTCATTCAGACACAAATTTATATCTAGTTTTCAACATATGTTGGTAATCAAAAGTAAGCTCCTTCTCATCCGAGGACAGAAGGAGCAGGCTATTAAATCAACTTCTTCACAGCTTCACTCAATATTGTATTTACAGCAAAATATATACTGGTAACATATACACCACTACACAATACCACCAGAATCATCCTTGAACACTTGAATATATAGTGCAGAGTTGTGATAAGATGAAATTCCACATAAATGGACAAATCCTGAAGTTAGGGATGGTATATTGTATTTAGCGTGTTTCCATTCCTTTTTTTCATTAGTATGTTAGTAATCAATGGCAATGGTGCTACGTAAGCAGGCTGAGTAAATAGAAAGATAGTTATCTAAGTGAAAGAATTTGGAGTAATAATGAATTTGCCCTATCCTCAGGTACACTATTCAACATTCGCAAGAAAAAGGTATTTTTTAAAGGAAGGTGAATAGTTTTCTAAATGTAGTAAAACGAAAGGCAGCACAGAAGTCTAACGTTCAAACCATAATCCCATATTGTAATCTGCCTTTGCAACATTACCATTTGCACTATGATAAGCCAATGCAAATAGTTGGTTGCTACAGACATTGTTAAAAAACCACTTTGATATAACTGACTTGTGTAATATGTATGCATCAATATTTTGTAAATAAATGTTTATTTTTTAATCACTGTTGGTATATGTTCATTACAAAAAAAAAGAGTGATGTTAATCTGTACTTTAGTTTAATAAACAAAAACCAGTATTCTCTTCATAACATAATTTCCTGGTTTTTAACAGTAATATGAAGGAACAGTGCAACAAAGTAAGCCATATGCAGAGAATTAGACCACATTTTGTATTTTTTTTTTTTATACTAGCATGAGCCATCTGTGGAGAAATGTTGGCTGTTGACATGTTTACAAGATTCCTTTAGGTTTCTCTGGTCATTTCGATCCATACCCCATTTTCCATATGTTGAATGTTATATCCATAAGAAATAGCACCACAGAAGACTGCTGCTAAGTGCCTATTATTACATTGTAAATTTTGCAGCAAACTATTATCTTCATTTGGGTAAACATAGTAAACAGATTTTCACCCAAATTCTGTATTTTCCCCTTGTGATAAAACATTGTTGATTGAAATTAAAATGTTTTCATGTTAATGAAATACATTTTTCGCTACATTGAAGAAATCGATTTTGAACTTTTCTTTGTGCAAAGCCATTGTAGAATTGCAACAATAATGGATTTCCCCTCTGATGTATTTTTTTTGCATGGGTGGTAAATATTTTTTAAAAGGCAAACAGTCTTGCTACAAAGAAATACAAGGATGAAATTTTAAGTTTGAGCGATAAACTTGAAACTTAAAGAATGAGCAGATTTTTGAGCATTTCTTTTCAACTATGAAGAGTAGCGCTAAAGTTGTGCCCAAGCATCACACAGATGTTCACCTTCTAATATAATTCATCTCAGCAGACCTCTGGAGCCCTTACGTACACCATCAGCTTAGTTTCCCACAAGACACAGAGTAAAAGCAGCCTCAAGCGAGCCCACCAGCAATGTGCAGGACTGCGAGCCCTCAGGCACACTGAAAGCCTGCTACACTGCTCAGAGCTTTCCATAGCACAGCACACAGCTGTTAGCTGAGCTTGTTCATAAGGCAGCAGCTGCAGAGGTGGTGGCACGTTGGAGCTGATGGCAAAGAAGACATGGTCAGTCTGCACTGCAGTGCTGATATGGCACCCGCGTGCTGACTTCTAGTCACAGTAGCTAAACTGAAGCGAATGCAAAGGCAGTTACCTCACATAAGGACATCCTTGGCTGTACCCTGCTGGTCCAGCCCCTGCCATCGCTGCCCTCCTGCCTGCTCCTCAACCTCAGCTCATGCTGAAAACCGTGCTCTGGTGGGAAATGCTTCCAATACGCTTAAACGGAGCTCACAGGAAGCTTAACTGCTGGCAAAGGAGCCATCACCACCAGGCACGTGTAAGCTGCAGCTTTTCACAGAGGTACTGGTTTGCTAGCTATGGGCAGATTTCAACGCTCAACATAGAACTGCTCAAGGCCAATCACATTCACAGTTTTTGGTCTATTTTCCAGTTCCATAGAATCTAGGTTCATTCTTCTGTGGTAGCTGGATGGTGGTTTTATTTTCCTTCCCTACTTTTTTTTTTTTTTAAATCAGAGATTACCAAATCGTCTCATTCTTGGATGCAAAGGAGTTCTTTTGGCCAAATGCCTTAAAAAAAGAAGGCCTGAGACTTGGACAGTCCAATCCAGGCGGTTACATCTTTTAAAGATACAGCAAGACAAAACATGGTGTTATAAAATGAAGTTCCCAACAAACTCAATAGCCAAATGATCCCAAGTCCACTTAAATACTTAGTGAAAAAAAATTAAAAATTAGGAAATAGTAGGTAGATAGAAGGCACTAACTAGAAACATTATTTATATTACCTATGTATTTCAGCAAAGCAGTCACCAAGAACCTCAATCTAATGATCCAAGCTAGCTGGCGTATTAACTTCATCCCAAGAACAATGCTTAAAGCAGCAGCATCTCTGCATATCACTGCTATCTGTGCACTGATGCAATAAAACACACAGCAAAGATGTGCTCACCAAACCACTCAGCTGCCCCTGTGAGCGGTCTGACCATAATGCTCCCTTGAATTGTGTTTTGTATCAACGAAATTGGATGTTCACAAGCTCTGGAAATGCTAAAGCTCCAGTTCTCTCTCCTGCTTAGCAAAGAAAAGCCCTGACAATATTCAAAGACCAGTTTATTAATTTGTATAGGCATGAAATACTGCTCTGCTCACGCTTTGCTGTTTATATAAAAAAAGGACTTATAGTGCCATCATCTCCTGAAGCAAACTTGTGCAAAGAGCAATAGAAAAGGGCAGGCATACAGTTTGTTCAGCATTAAGCAGCTATGAAGCAAAATTGCAGTGAATATTCTACAGCCTATTGTTTGGTACACCAGAAGTACCGACAACGAGAAGCCTGGAAGCCATCTGTAGGTCAGCTGGAAAGATGGGCAATGAGCTTTGCAGCACTTTGGGTGTAAATCTGTCTGACGTTCATCAGCCTTGGCTGCTAAAGCTCATTTTGAAGCTACAGGAGAGACTTCATTTTCTTCTGAAGTGGACATGATTCATCTGGCGTGTGTTTTCAAGATGGTACAGCTTCCAGGGAAAATAAACCAGCTCAGTGCCCATAAGTCAACCTGTAACACATCAGTTTGTAACCTAAAGGCCATCTCTTGCCACACTCTCTAAATCTAATTATGTATGCAAACAGGTCCTGCACAGAAATATCTTCCACTGAAAGTCAAAGACCAAAGTTAATTTCCAACCTGTTGCTTTTCTACTATGTATGTATCGTTCTGCACTAAGCCATTAGAAGCAAAGGTAATCCCTCTGAGCACTGAAAGGATTCAGCCAAGATGAATCCTAGCTGAGAAAAGGCAATGAGAGGTGAGCTGATTCGATCTGGGGGCTTTTCCAGCAGAAATATCGTCCCTTTTTTCTTCCCCCCCCTTCACCAGTTTCTCACCTGAGAGAAAACAAACGACAGTTCTAGCTGAGCAACGATATTACAGAGATCGCACTGCAAATTCCGACGCTACGGAGCGCTCTGAAGTAACGCTCACCTTCGGACAGCACACACAACAGCACACAGGGCACAGGCTCCCTCGGCACTGCAGCACGTGCACCTTTGAATGAGAGGCTTATCTCACTTTTGGCCAAGCGTGGAGCCTCTCTCCCGCCAGCACATTCGTCACCATTTTTCATGTCGTTATCCGTCAAGTTCGGCCCCGCTGACATATGAACCAGGCAGACCGAACACCTGGCTGTCACGCATTATAGCATCAGGTTGCAGCGCGGCGCCAGGTGGTCCCACGTCAGGCAGATGCCTGCGGGCTGAGGTCAGCTGCCTACTGTATGCCGTGGGCCGGCCGCGCTGACACGTGGGCAGTGCAGCGAGGTGCTGGGGAAAAAGCCTTCTCCTTGGCTGTGCCTGGCACCTACCGTGGTAGGCAGGAGCTCCACCTCGCCCATCGCTTTCTGGCGTGTTGCTCACATGTCACTGCTGGAACAGCATCCGAAATGCCCTTCCTGCTTGGAGTGCTTGGGAAACATGACGCTCTAAAAATTTCTCCAACTCAAACCCTATATGTTATCTCCTCCTTATGAGTTTCTAGAGTCTTCCGCACTTGTGATCATTTATATATAGGAACGTTTAGGAGGAGAGCATTGATTTTTATGCTGCATTTAGCCGCTGCCTATAGGTCAGCACGGCAAAACCTATGTACTGGCTTGTGGACACACCCTCACTCAGAATCGGAGTACCAGACTGTGGGTACCAGGATTCACAGCCAGCCTGTCAGTCACCAGAAAGGTGTAGAAGAACCCAGCATTCCAGCAACCACCTCTGTATGGCTGGGGCATCCACTAGCAAGGTCACACCAACCAACACTAGCAGAACCTGCTCTTTTGTATGACAGCTTATTTCATTTTTCCCATGCCTTACCAAAACTGGAAATGCTATCAAAGCATCCTTGCAGATGTATCTTCTCATTTCTATAAGGATCTCACCCCTCTGGTTCATACCACTGCCTCAACTCTCCTTGTCAACCAGTCCTGATGTAGATCCAAGCTCAATGATAATCTCTTTTGAGCTTATCATCACCTTACGTTTGCTCATTTCTGTCAAAAATATTAGCTGCTAGCAACTTTTCATGATTTTTTTTTTTAGACTCCTTTGTTCATGAAAAAAAAAATCACAGTAAGATTTTCTAAAGCCAACCAAATAAAAGCAAAGACAAAACCTGAACATGCACAAAAAGCCTCAGGTTCCAGGGAAAGAAAAGTAGCCCCAAAAGCCCTTATTTTTACTGCTTTATTCTCACTAAATAAATCAATAAATAAAATTTGAATGGATTCAATTCCTATCTTTCCTTAAAAACAGCTGTCTGAGGAATATAGAATTAAAAATAAAAAGGGGAAAAAAATCTTTTACTGAAAAATATATTAACTATTAGTGAAAAAGACCTGTATTACTGATTTTTCTTATGTATTCTTTCAGCATACGTTATTTGCAATAGGGAACGACATTTTTCTTGGTTTTATTTCAAAGCACAGATTTTAGGCAGCACAGTACTGGCCTGGTAACAGATCCTAGGCAGCCCTGTGCTCCCTTTGTGCCATAGTGACAGTGGCTGTCCTGGCGCCTTACCATTACCTGCATGTGTTAAGACTGCTGGCCTTTTCAAAGATGCTGCCAGAATCTCTCACTGTTCATGAGTTTCCATTCCTTTACGTCTCCAATGCTGTATGTCAGTCACGTGTACAGGAAGCCATCTGATTACATGTGTGCCAAACTGTCATTGCCACATAATCGTACACAACAATCCTTTTCGTTTTTACAGCAGATCTCAAAGTAAATTAAGTCTACAGTAGGTACAATGCAACCCTTTGTATCTGTTGTTTGGAATTAGATACGACTAAACTTCAGATCTTCAGCTGAAAAACAACCAAAGATTGGTTCCACAAATTTCTTTCGACTGTGATTCAGCAGGAGCTTAGTTAGAACCAAATGTGATTACTCGGTTTTGGCTATGC